TATAAATGCCCTTTACCTCCCAGCTCTTTCCTCTATTTCCCTTGACTTTCCTCCTGTCCCACTATCATGCTCAGTCCCCATCAGGGAGAAAACACATCTTTCTGATGGTCTTAGGCACCAAGACACTGATCCTCTATCCGTCTCCGGTGGGTCTGTTCACATGCAGATATGCCCACATACAAGTACCCGGCGTGAAGACTGTTGCCCATGCCACACCATGCTTCAAGACATCATTTCAATTATTTGTCATTAGAAATAAATATTTCACAATATATGCTTACATATTGTTTTATGATTAATCGCTATGCTTTAATTGTGTTCAATTTGTAACAATGAAAATACATCCTGCATAACAGATACTTACATTACAATTCATAACAGTAGCAAAATCATAGTTTTGAAATAGCAACAAAAATAATTTTATGTTTGGCGGGGGTCACCACCACATGAGGAACTGTATTAAAGGGGCATGGCATTAGGAAGGTTGAGAACCACTGACTTAAGGTGAGCTATGTAATTTGTAGCAACTCTGGAGAGAGATGGTCCACAGCAAGTGGGTTTGCTTATTTATTGTCAGTACATGTTCACTTAACAACATTCATAAAGTATACAACTCATTATTTTTTGGTGTATTTACAGGGCTCTCTACAATATAGTTTTAGAACATTTTAGTCCCTCTTAGAAGAAACACTACACCTATTAATAATCACTTCTACTCATGTGCATTCTAGCCCTTGCAAATCACTACTTTCGGTCTCTCTAGGTCTGCCTATTCTGAATTCATATAAATGGACTCATACAATGTGTAGTCTTGTCACTAGCTCCTTTCACTCAGCAAAATGTTTTCAAGCTTCCCCTGTGCTGTAGCACACATCGGTAATTCATTCTTTTATAGGACCAAATAAATTTCATTTTATGATTAAATCACATTTTATCCTTTTACTAGTTGATAGGTGCTTGTGTTTTTCCCCACATCTTTTTCCCTATTAATGAGTAATGCTGCTATGAAAACTCATGTACTAGTGTTTGTGCAGAAATATGTTTTACTTTTCCTTGAGTGTATAACTAGAAGTGGAATTGGTGTTTAACATTTTGAAAAAATACTGGACTGTTTGGCAAAACATGTACATCATTTTGCTTATGATGAGTATCTTGTCATGTACCTCAACTGGCCACTTCGATAGCTCCTTTGGTGCAATATCCATATCACTCCTTTGTCCATTTTGAAAAATTAGATTGTCTGTTTTCATTACTGTTATGCAGTTTATCTGTCTGGAGCATAAATCTTCTATTAGATTTTGATTTGCAAATATTTTCTTCCATTGTGTCTTTCTACTTTCTTGCACAATCCTTTACATTACAGTTTTTTTTTTTAATTTCTAATGTTGTATAATTGACTTATTTTTTCTTTGCTACATATGCTTTGTCCTAAAAAGGCTTTGTCCAGTGTAAGGTAGTGAAGATTTTCTGTTTTCTTCTAAGCATTTTATTGCTTTACTCCTATATTTAGGTTTCGGATCCATTTTCTAGTTAATTTTTGTATAAAGCATGAGGTAAGGGATTCATCATCTTTTGTGAGAATCTAGTTCTCTAAGCAGCATATGCTGAAGAAAGGATTTTGTTCTTATTGAATGGTCTTGGCATCTTTATAAAGAATCAATGTTTGGACTCCCAATTTTATGCCATTTGTCTGTCTGTCTGCTGTCATCTCTGTTTGTATGCAAATACCAAACAATCTTGATTACTGTTGATTTGTCGTAGATCTGCTTTGTAAATCTTCAGGCAATGTTACTATTTTCCCTCCTTTGACTCCTCCCCAACGCCATTTATTCATGAATGACTAGGGTTATTTTTGTGGATTTCCTGCGTCTGGATTCGAGTAATTATGCCCTGAAGGTGGCATTTAACATGTCCCTCTTTCCTTTCTTTCATAAATTTTTTGATCTAAGGGTTTACTTTAATTCTTATTCAATGATTTAATTAGTACCATGACTATTTCCCAGGTGCCTCTATTTACTTCCTGCTACATCAATTACGAGTCATATATTTTCTGGTTTTTCCACACTTACTAATATAAAAATCAATCAGAGGATTTCAATGTTGTCAGATTAATCTCCTCATTGCAAAGTTTCCCTTGAACTTGTCACTGTTTTGGGTTTGGGAGAGCAGGTGAGTCTTGACTGAAAATGACTTGCTGGTTATTGAAGCCAGGCAACAGGAATGTGATTTGGTTTTCTGGTAAGCCGTTTTTGAAACGTATCCTATATTTTGCCAGTGGTAATTCTTTGATGATGATTTCGGTGCCATTTTCATAGCTTCTCTAGCTATGGGTGCGTGAAATCCTGGGAACAGCTTATGGATGTCTGTCCCTAACCGATGATCAGCCCTTTCCCTAAGGATCCCAGGTTTCTTTTTGGTGGGAAGTGGTACTTGAAAACCACATAGCCGAGGCACAGGAGTGCTTATGGCCACCAGGGCTTCGTTGTTCCCAGATTTTTCATCAAACCAGACTTAACAATAGATGTTTTCTTCCAAAGGAAAACTGAACCAGGATTTCAGAACAATATTGCCAATTCAAGTGAAAGATTGCAAGGATTATTTTTAAGCTTTTTTTTAACGTTGTATTTTTATCTATTCCATGCTGAAAATCTCGGATTCTAACAATGCATATAATTATTCATTTGCTTTATGCTGTTCTAGCATCTTGTTTATGTATAATGTAGTATCCTAAC